ATTACCTGCTCTGAGGCCATAGGAGCCACTTAATCTACATGAGCCTTGGTTTTCTGGTCTGTGAATTGGGGATAATTTCTCAGGTTGTCCTGAGAATTACCTGTGATAGCATTTGCGAATGATACTGCAAACTATCTAATAATACCCAGCTGCAGTAACTGACTGTTCCGCCTCCACATTCGGGTCTTGGATTTATGTCCTTCTGCCACCAGTAAACCAGCTGAGAAGCAGGGAAAGCTGATCCTCTGAGCTGATCAGGCAATCGGCAGGTGTTCTCCAGGCATCCTAACCCCTGTGGGCCCTCCTGGGCTCTGGGGGCCGGGGCATTCCAGACCGAAAGAGCTTCCTTCCCAGATGAGCCCTGTGTCAAACACTGTTTGCACTGGATCCGTGAGTCAGGGCTTCACGGCAGGCTGAGTCGACAGAGCAGACAGGCCTGACCCAGCCAGCAGCCCAGCACAAAACAAAAGGCTGGTGCCTTCCTGTGGTCCGGGCTGGGCCTGGCCATGGCAGGTGTGGCCAGGGGCTGAGTCAAGTTGGGGATAAACAGATGCCTGCAGCAAAGCAGAAGGCAACACAGTTGGTCTCTGGTGGTCTCTCAGCCCCCGTCTCTCTATCACCTCCAGGGCAAGGCATTTCCTGGGATGGTGCCCAGAGACCCTTTGCATCCTGTGACTTGGGCAGGGACTCACCACAGAGCTGGGGTCCGGCCAGGTCCCTAGGTCTTGCCCCCTTTTCTCCTCCCCCCAGCTCAGGGTTGATTCTGGGCCGAGAGGCCATGCAGGCGCTCTGCGTCTCCATCTGTGTCCTGCTCAGGAAAGTCACAAACACTGATGTTCCCCGGCTGTGCTCAGAGACCTAAAGTGTACCCACATTTCCCTGCCCACATCCCCGACACCCATGACCCTTCGGCAGCTCCTCTTCCCAGAAACAGACCAACCCATCCTCTCTGACCTCGGGTCAGAAGTATTTGCCAGAAGCTTCAGGAAAAGCCAAAGAGCGGCCACAAAACAGAGGCCCTGGGCGGGCAGAGGGAGGCAGGAGGGTGGCTCCTCCGACCCTCAGCATGCTGGCCGGGCTGCTCTGTCTTCTCTTTGACCCTCAGGTGCGCAGCCCTGAGTAAGTCACAATCCCTGGTTTTTCCACTATTGGTTCATGCAGGGCCCTCCTGAGCTCACCAGCTAGTTAGATGGTTTTAACCATGTAATAAGCCTCCATAAACCCACCGCCCAAAACAAAAGCTTTGACTTAATAACTACATCTAATCATCAGATCCTTCTGCTGAGGTAGGTGGGCAAGTCCCTTTTGTCTAATAATTCGACAGGCTTTGATTGCTTGTCTTTGGTAGGCCAGGGGCTGTGCTAGAAAGTCCTGCCAAACTCAGCATCATTTCCTGCTTCTTCACGAAAAAGAGACTGTGTTTTATGGGATCTTTTGGAACTCACCTTCTCCTCTGATGTTGCATTACTAGCGCAGTCTGTATTACTTGGTGGCTTCATACTCTATTTGTTTTGACTACAGCGAAATATTCCGTTGGTTGAATATACCACAGTCAGTGTCTTCAAGGCTGGCCTGGGACTGAGTCCTGAAACTGAGATGTTTTCCTTAATTCTTTCATTCAACAAACATTTGTTAAGTACCCACTATGTGCCGGGCACCGTGGCAGACTCCCAGACGCAGTCACTACCACGATAGCCACGGTCCCTTTAATTCTAGCCTGCAGGTTTTATTTAGCTTATTATTTCCTCTCTCTCTCTCTTGTTCTCAAAAAGGTGTGACATTTTTCTACATAACCACTATTCAGTGGAGAGCAACTGAAATGTAAGTCACGGGAGAGTGAGGTCCTTCAGTTCAAAGATCAGGAACATGCGGAGTGTAAGCATCACTTGTTCTCTCTGCATCTGAGCTCCTAGCGCTTTCCGGGTCCATCAGGGCATATAGTCAGTGTTCGTTGAATTAATAATAAGCGAGAGGGACTTGCCCTGCCTGCTTCAGCGAATGCAGGCGCACATTCGCAGGGAGAAAGAACCAATTGACAGGGGAAGGGCCACTAAATGGTGCCCTTCCAGCCTGCCCCTCCTGTCCTTCAGCATCTCTTTCCTGCTCACGAAGGCCCACGAGCGTCCGATCCACTGGCGAGGCCTGTTGCCCTTATCTGTCCACATGCTGGATCTTTCCACCACCGCCCCTTTCTCCCTCCTCTTATCCTCACCTCACTCCAGCCTGCGGGTCTCAGTTCTGCCAGCCTGGCTACGCCGTGTCATTCAGGCCCAGCCAGGGGCCCCCAGCCACCCCGGTCCCGCCCCAGACCTCCCCCTCTAGCTCTCTGTGCAGCCCTGTCTCCCGAGGCCTGCTTGGCTCCTGGGGTTGGGCGCCCGGGGCCTCTGATTTTCCTGCTTGTCTGCTTGTGGCCTGGCCTCCCCTGCTTCCCCCCGCCACCCCCAGTCCCTGCCTCGCCTGAGGGGGAGCGGGGCCTCACCGGTCTTGTTTGGGCACCTCTCCCATCCTACTGCAATTATTTCTCATTTGTCTTTGAATCCACAGCTCCTAGCACAGTGCCCGATACAACACAGACACTCAACAAATATTTGCTTAACTTAATAATTAATTAGTGCTACACAAACCGGTTATGAGACAATTGGTGTCAATCCTCTTCGCCCTTAACTTGGACTCAGACGAAGGACTTTGTAGACTGTTATGAGCCACTCGTGTGTAGATTACCGCCGGCATTATCACCACCTGGCTCTGTGGCCATAGCAAGGCAGAGTGGCCCGATTCCTTCTCGTCTTCATTGTGGAAGCACCCCCGCCCAGGACCTGGTGACGGTGGGGGGAAATGGCCAGGGTTCAGTTCCACCCAGCGGTCATTCATCGGGTCTTTACTCAGGACAAGCCAGTGCAAAACACTGAGGGCACAGGCAATAAGAAACAGGGAGCCCTGGGGGAGGGATGTCATGGGGTCCTGCAGGGATGCCGTGGGAGCACAGGCTAATGGGAGCAGAGCGAGGCCTGGTGCTGAGCCAGGCACTGTCCCCGGTGTCCCATTTCATCCTCACAGCAGCACTCAGAAGTAGGTGTATTTTCCCCACTTTACGGAGGGTAAACCTAGGGCTCAGAGAGGTTAAGTATCTTCCCTGAAGGCTCACAGTTAATAGGAGGCAGAGCCTGTGTTACAGCTCAGCCCCTGCAGACTCGAGAGCCTGGCTGTCTCTGCTGCATACCCAGCCGCCCATGGCCTGGTATCTCCAGAGGGCAAAGCCAGGCATGTCCCTCCAGCAGGCTGCAGAGTTTTGAAAGAAAGAGCTCCTTCTTCCAATGACTGTGTCTGCCATGCTCAGCCAAGGGAGCAGGCACCATCCAGGGACCCTCCTATCTAATCCAGGGCAACCACCCAGGGTTGGAAGACACACTCTCCTTCCCAAATGGGACTGGAGAAATTCCCAGCCAGAAATGTCTAGGGTCCTGCAGTTTCTCCACCCACCACTAGAGCAGTCAGAGCCTCAGCACAACAGCAGACAGGTCCCTGGGTAGAGACTGAGAGCTTGGGCAGACCTGCTGTCCCCAGCCTGGGAGTCCAGGTCCTGGGCCAGATCGGGAAGGGAAGGAAGAGAAGAGGGATTTCCGGAAGGCACAAGAGCAAGGAAGGGCTTCAGAGAGCACGAGCATTGGCACACCCTCTGCCCTCACTTTTGCCTTGCAGAAAGGGGGTGCATGTACTCTGCGCGGCTCCTTCCTGTGTGCACCCCTGTGTGACTACGTAGAAGCACAGAGCCTTGCATGTGTTTGTGTGTGCGTGTGCCGAGGGTAACCTAGGACCACCCTCACAGACACGCACTGTGCTTTGGGGGTTCTATGCTCCTGTTTGTCTGCTTGTTTTATGAGTAACATACATCCAGTAAAGGATTCAGATCTGAAGCCTACCACTCAGTGGAATTTACATATATAACCCTATGCAGCCAACACTGAGATCAAGATCTGGAGGGTTTCCAACTTTATAGAAGGCTCCATCACGCTCCTTCCAGTAACCTTCCTACCTCCCCAGTGGTGACCACTATTCTGAATTCGATCACCTTATATTAACTTTGCCTTTTAAACTGTATAAAAGTGAAATCACACAGGGAATGCTCTTTCGTGTCTAGTTTCTTTCCTTCATTATTAAGTCTGAGACTCATCCAGGTGTCATTGCATTTAGCATTAGTTTGGTCTTGTCCATTGCTCAGTTATTTCGTTATGTGAATATACCACAATTACTTATCTGCTCCGCCAGGGACTGATGTTTGAGTTTTTCCAACTTTTAGCTGTTTTGAATGAAGCTACCACAAGCATTCATGTACAGATCTTTTGCTAGATATATGCACTTGTTTCTCTTGGCGCTAAGTCCTGAGTCATGGAATCATAGAATATTCACATGTTTAGCTTTAGTAGTTTCAGCCAAACTATTTTCCAAAGTATTTGTACCAATTTACACTCCCACCAACAATGCATGAGAATTCCAGCTGCTCCACACCCTCACCAACACTTGGTGTTGTCAGCCTTTTTACTTTTAGCCATCCTGGCGTCTACGTAGGGATATTTTATTGCGGTTTGAATTTGCATTTGTTTGATGAGTAATGATGTTGAGCACCTTTTGGCACTTACTGGCCACGGGAGTGCAATTGGGGAGTACTGTTCAAGTGTTTGTAGAACTATCTCTGTGAAAGTGGACAGATGACTGACAAAGCAGACAGCAGAGCAGAATCATCTCGAGAAACTCAGCAACACACACAACAAGCCAGCAACCAGTCCTTTCTACGACGGCCAACTATTCGATACAATGAGTAAACTAGTTGTACCAGGTCACATACATGTACAGCTGAATTTTATGTTTTGAACCAATTATTTGGATATCACAGAGACCCTCCACCTTAGGTTCAGCAGGGAGAAGGGAACACAGACAAGAACCAAGAGCCTCCCCTGGCTGGTGAGCCTTCAACTCACTGAGTGTTTTTCCTTCAATTACAGGATCCCGACAGTGATCAACCCCTGAACCGCCTTGGTAAGCTCAGGTCCAGCTGTCCTTTGTCTACCTCAGAGTCTGAGTTTCGATCGGTTACCGGGTAGATCGTAGTCCTCACTACCACC